ATTCAATCCATATTATTTTTATAAAGGTTAAAAATGTTAGATGGTAACTCTGAAGTACCCATTAACTCTCAAGTACCATTTGAGAGTGACGCGTCACAACATTCATTGCCAGCAACAAACGCACCTACTCACTCACTGTCTCCCCTCTCTAATCAACATGTTATTGATTTAGAAGAAGAGTCTAATACTACTTGTGGAGGAACTAAAAGAAAACCTAGTGTTGTGTGGGAACATTTTAAAAAACAACAAGTCAATGGGGTGTGGAAGGCAATATGTAATTATTGTAATAAGCATCTTGAAAAGGCCTTCAAAGCAAGGTACAAAGAAGGGTGAACCAGCTCTCAACCTTTAATCACCTTAAAACCCAAGTTTCAGCCCAAAAGTATAGAAGTTTTACAACCCAAAAATAGTTGGAAAATTGCAAGAAAAAGCGTAGTTAAAGCAAGCAAATAGGCAAAGCCTTATCCCTTTTGGGCAGCTTTATTAATCTAATCGGCTAAATATCTAGGCTTGATGCCGATTAACGTGTGTCGTAGCCACTCCACGAACTAATGATATTCGGCCTTTGGAGTTCATAGATTGGTTGGGGTAGGGGCAGATTTATTAATCTAATTGGCCAAATATCTAAGCCTGATGCCGATCGATGTGTGTCGCAACCACCCCATAAACCAAGTGTAGATTCATGAAGCTAATCGGCTATTCGACGAGGCCTTAAGCCGTTGCACCTATTCGGATAAATTGAAGGATAAATTACTAAATTGCCTAGTTATCTAATCGGCAAGTGTACATGGATGTTTTATCCCAAGTAGAAAAAAGCAATACTATTCATCAATAGCAAAATTAAGTACAAATAATAGCAAAGTACAAAGGAATTTTCATTAGTAAATTGGGTGCATACAGTAGCCATTTACATATCAAAACTACTAAACAAAAAGCTACAACAATACATTCAAAATCCCTAACAAAAACAACTAAGGTGTCGCCCTAATCAATCCTCGCGGTCCTCGGGCTCAAACTCCAGCAGCTCAACCTCCACTTGCTCGTATGGAATCGACATAGCCAATATCACATTTGCAGAAGCAAGGGCTTTGAGCCAGCCGTGTTTGAATCCCTAATTCTCAAATTTGGGGACTTTTTCCACATAATTTGCAAGGGCGCGCCTTTCCCAGCCTCGCACGCCATGGAAGCCTCGGAGTTGGCTATTTCCTTTGCCTTCTTTGATTCTTCCAAGTCGGCCTCCAATTTGGCAATCACCCCTTGGGCTAACTTGAGTGCACCTTTGCTCGTGTTTGTCCTCTCCTCGGCGGCCAATCTGAGCTGGTTCGAATTTCTCGCCTTTTCCATCTCGACCTCGGTCCTGCTCCTTTCGCCCTCAACTTCTGACTTTAAACGGCCAATTTGTTCGATGGCGTCATGCTGGCGCCGGCCTATCTCAGCTATCTTTCCGACCGTCTACAAAATAGGAAATTAAAACCAAAACAATATACGCATAAAAGCGAAAGACAGGATCAAGTTATATACTAGAAGAGCCGATTGAGTGGTAATGCTATTGCCAACAGATCCAGCTCCGCCCGGAAAGTCGCCTTGTCAGCCGAAAAAGAGACCGACGAAATCATGCTCAATGCCACAACTGGGTCTTTCATAGCTGACGCGTCAGAGGAGATCGGCATGTTTTTATTTTTGTTTAAATGACAAAAGGGACAACCACATCGGACTCCTCTAAGCGCGGCCGTTTGTCAGCAGGGCTATCCTCTTGGCCGGCCTCTCCCTCGGCGGAACGTTTTTCGCCCCGCTCCTTTGAAACCAGCCGTTCTTCCGTAACCTGCTGTTCAGCCCCCTCGTCTCGACCATAACAACTTGAGCCGTTTCTTTTCCAGTAACCGGTTGTGAAGATTCAACTGGGGCAGGCCCAGAATGAGCGGCCTCAGCTTTCTTTCGGGCGGTCATTCGTTCGGCATTTCTCTTTCTCGCCATTTGGGTGAGATTTTCCCCAGCTATGCCTTCAGAAAAAGCGCCGGGTAGATCTCCCAAGTTTGTAAAAATATCTCCGAAGGAAAACTTCGCCCGACCCGAAGTGGACGGAGGGTTAGGCTGGTTAAGACCGGCTGCCGCAAATGCTGATTTCAGAGCTTCGTCGACCTCTTCGGCCTCCGCAGCGAACACCTTCGTTGATTCGGCAACTATTTCGACCACCAACTCTAAGTCTTGCTCCGAATCAGAAGCTTCGAGACCAATTTGTTGATATTTACAAATATATTATATTGTTTTATATGTTTTCAAATATATTATATTGTTTTATATGTTTTCAAATATATTATATTGTTTTATATGTTTTCAAATATATTATATTGTTTTATATGTTTTCAAATATATTATATTGTTTTATATGTTTTCAAATATATTATATTGTTTTATATGTTTTCAAATATATTATATTGTTTTATATGTTTTCAAATATATTATATTGTTTTATATATACTAGGCAACGGCCGTGTAGCCTTGGCATCAGGTTGCCGTCTATCACATTTTTGTCAAATTACCCACTTTTAATTATTTATATTATTTCTTTTCATATTTTTTTGTAAAAAGTCAAAAATTCATCCTAAACATACTTTTTTTTTTTAATATTATATTTTAGCCAAAAGTTACTAAAAAAGTTGGTTCCCAAAACAAGGTCCCTTGAACTTGGGTTTGGGGTTATGCAAGATTAAGTGCACAACTTCTTGAATGCGCAACTTCTTAAGTGCTAACTGCCCAATGGGAAGTGCTAGAGCTAGTGCCATGACAAAAGCTTTTGGATCTGTTGCTAATAGGCATGGAAAATTATTAGATACTCTCGAGATTATGTGATCATGCTCTCTCACAAATTACCATTCATTATATTTTCTCATGTTTTTCAATCATTCAACATAAAATCATAGTACCTTACTTCTCTACCAATTATATTACCATTGAATAATCAATGCCTAGGCATAGATAGGAAGATGGCTGGAAGTATGGATGGCAATGGGGCAGGTTTGTAGTTACCTGTCTTGTGATGGGGTAAATAAAAATTAATATAATATATTATGGATAATAATTTATAATTAATGACAAATAAAAAATATAATATGAGAAGTAAATAAGTGAAAATGAATGTTAAATGTAATATTTGTGTTAATTTTATTATAATAAAATTATATTATATATATGAATGTATTTAATAAATATAATTGAAATAGGATTAAAGATTAAGAAGAATGGAGCCGAGAAGCAAAACTTGTTTTGTCTCACTTTCTCATTTCTAAGAGCATCTCCAATACTTATTCAAATTTTTCATTAAATGAAGATGAAGCGTTCCTGTCACCTGATGGCCCTCCATAAATATGAGGACCATCACATAAGACGGGGGATCAGAAAATCAGAAGGGAAAAGATCAGAGAGAGAGAGAAAGAAATTGAGAGCTAAAGAAGTCATTACAAAAAAGAAGAAAAACAGAAGCCTAAAGAACTCAAGAGCCTACGCTAATGGCGATGAATAGGTAAAGGGTTCCAAACCCAAACTGTATTTTGTATTCGAGGGTTCAAAACCCATAACAATCTTAATAAAATATTCTTTTTTTTAAAATTGTCTTTTGTTGTTTATTTTGTTCTTCATTAATCGGAGGTTTCATTTGTATAAAATGTGTAATTAACGATCTGAAATACAGATCGGAAATAAGAACCTGCTATTCACATAATCAACACTGTTTAGTTAAAAAACTAAACAGTTGACATTTGTAACATAAAATTTTGAAATGTGTTGAAACACTTCATGTTTTAAAATTTGTGTCTACAGGGGGACTAACTAAAAATGGTTTCTGGGAGATTTCTCACACTGAAACAAGCACAGCCTTATAAAAATGTTGCACAATAGCTTTCAGAAGTGAACTACATCTACATGCATGCCATATATCATTTGGTTCTTTACTATAATGATGACCTGCCATGTGTGAATGGTTAGCTTGTATTGTTTCATGCCTTTTATTTTCTCTGTTTTTTCCCTGTTTCAAGCTAGAAATAAGATGAGGTTCCAACTCAATGAGATCATAGTCTGGAAGTTATTTCAGAGTCATTCTTTTTGATGTCTTGTCTTGATCAACGTTGTGAGCGAAGATATCCCTTTCTAGGTGGTTAAACAGAGATGTTTGTTAAGGATTTCGTCATTATGAAGTTCAAATTGAACTGAAGATAGAATATTTTAAATTATAAGATGCACTTCAAGTTTATTTTGTTTTTTCTAAACTTTCAAAAAGTCCTTGAAAATTCGTCATGGAGAGACATAATATGAGCTGCTTGGAAATACTTCTATTTTTAGTTTCTAATAAATTATTGGCACAATTCAGGAAGTTGCACCTTTATGGTGTGTTTAGTTGGGAGATTTGGGGAGGGATTTGAAAATGGAAAGGGAAAATGTGTGTGAAATGTGGTGAAATGTAACTATATTTTATTCATATTTCACCCTACCTTTTTCCCTTTCCTTTTTCAAATCTCTTCCCAAGTTTCCCAACCAAACACAGCGTTAGGGAAGTTCCTTGTTTTAAAGCTGTGAGGTTTTTAATTAATTCACTCATAATATATTAATATTTGCACAAGCATTCCCTATTTATCAGTTGTACGATTTTATTTTTGGTCTTATAAACTTAATTTATGTGGAACATAATATGAAATTAGAATCTTACTCTCATAATTGTTTTTCTTTGTGGTCTTCTCTAGTTTTTTTTCCAAGAATTTAGTATTGTTTTGATGTGTTTGCCATTACATATACGCAAAACTTAAAGAAAGGAAATTTTTTTGAACCAATGGCTATGCATGTTGCAACTGACTTTGAAAAGTGTTGGTGTTGAATCAGTGTTATTCTTGGTTGGGCAAGGGTGGTGTTGGATAAAAGTGGTTGTTATATCGGGGTTGGGAGTCCGGGACTAGGTTATTTAATTTTATTTGTTTATTTATATTTTATTTTTTTTCACTTCATACTTGCAATTTGAACTTTTGATTTGTGGTGTTCATCTGTCAGGCCCCTCCAGTTTTGTCATCCCTTGTTTCAAAGAAAGATCAAGAGGGAGCTGGATCTGCTGGAATGAATTCCCTGAGAGCATTTGCACTTCTTGGAGCAGGTGTATCGGGGCTTTTGAGCTTCACAACGATAGCAGCTGCTGATGAGGCTGAACATGGTCTACCTTGTCCAAACTATCCTTGGCCTCACGAAGGCATTCTTAGTTCATATGACCATGCTTCGTGAGTATCTATTGAGCCTATGACATGCTTTTCAGATGCTTTCTATTGCAGTTGAATACATCTTTAGCCTGATGAAGTAGGTCATCTGTGGACTGCTTTTTAAATCATTCCACCTATTGTTGCAACTTGTTGCAGTTTGGTTGATTTATGGTCAACCCTTGAATTGAAACTGCTTAAGCCTTAATTTTCCAATTTGATAATTTCTTGTTTCACTTCTCAGTTGTGCATCTGAGAGCTAGCCATTTTAATCATAGATCACCACTTCTCTTGATAAATCAATATGAAATATTTTCATCCCATTCTCCTCTCTTAGCTTTTTTAACTACAAAACATATTTCTTCCTATTCCGCCGGCAACATGGTGCTGAAGAATTGTTTCACACATGATATCTTCTAAATAGATTCATTTCCTTTGGAACGCCATAATGCTTTTTGATTCACTTGTTTGCAGTTGTTTTACTGTTTCATGCTTCCACTAATCTTAATATGTTCAATTTTACACAAACAGGATCCGTCGTGGTCACCAAGTTTACCAGCAAGTCTGTGCTTCTTGTCATTCAATGTCCCTGATTTCATATCGTGACTTGGTGGGTGTGGCATATACTGAGGAGGAAACAAAGGCTATGGCAGCTGAGATTGAGGTCGTTGATGGGCCTAATGATGAGGGTGAAATGTTTACTCGGCCTGGTAAACTGAGTGATCGTTTTCCGCAGCCATATCCAAATGAACAAGCTGCTAGGTTTGCTAATGGAGGGGCCTATCCTCCAGATTTAAGTCTTATCACCAAAGTAAATTCCTTTATTCTGTTTTTAATTTCTTCATTTCAAGGTTTTTTTTTGTTATTTATCTATCTCTACAGTTTCTTACTATTTCTTCATTTCAAGGTTTTTTTTTGTTATTTATCTATCTCTACAGTTTCTTACTATTTGGCGTTTCAGGCTCGTCACAATGGTCAGAACTATGTATTTGCTCTTCTAACTGGTTACCATGATCCTCCTGCTGGTGTTTCAGTAAGTTCTGATTTGTAGTCTCTTCTGCAACTTTCTTCTTGAACTTGTAGTATGATCAATGATGGTTTTGTATGTTCACATTTGGAGAATTTTATAGTTTGCCATCATGTAGATGCTCCATAATGATAATCACTTTGGTTAATGAATTGATACCCAGAAAGTAATAATCAAATAAAAGTAATAGAAAAAGACGAATGCAACTATGGCCAGATTTTAGAACTTTTGTCTTGAAGGCTTAGTAGCCTCTGCTGCTGTGGCAATAGCAGCACCCAAAGAATGGTCATAAATTTGAAATGGTTTGTGCTGGTCGTAGTTTTGCATGTAGGGAACTGTCTTTGTCTTTGTCCTCTGCTTCTTCTTATTATTCTTATTCATTGTTTGAGGTCTGGGGGGTGGTAGGTAGTTTAGCCTTTTCTGCATCATGTGGAGTGCTGATACTGTCATTTATGCAAATTAATTCATGTCACTTACAGATGGATGTCATTGTTGTTTTCCTGAGAGATTTATATCATGATAGCATGGGAGCTTTCGCCATCTATAAGTAGTGTTTTTTTATTTTTTTGGGGTCTGCATTGATATTCTGTTAGACGTTGGTAGTTGGTACATTTCACTTTTTAGATTTGGTGCATTAAAAGTAGACTTTCGTGGTGAATAAGCAGATTCAAAGGTATGCTTAAGCAGAAGCTTTCATTAGAGGCATAATACACCCCCCATCTGTTCTATTTGGTAGAACACTCCCATGTGTTTCAAGGATTGTTGGTGAAAAGAATTGCCTGTGTTCATACTGTTTCACTTATTTCCCGATTAACTTATATTTGGGTGGTTGTAATTTTTTTTTTTTTATTAATTGTGAAAGTTAGGATAATACACAATAGGGTTAACCACCACAAGGTTGCTTACATTTTGAAATTGTTTTTTCTGTAAATTTGGGTAACGTTTCTTTCCATAATCAGCCAAGTTGTAATGGTATTGTAGATCCGAGAAGGGTTGCATTATAATCCTTACTTTCCTGGGGGAGCCATTGCTATGCCTAAAATGCTTATCGATGGTGCTGTTGAGTATGAAGATGGTACCCTTGCAACGGAATCTCAGGTTGGTTTCTCTCGTACTTTTATATCGTTGTGCTTATTATCGTAAATCATATGAGACAGTTAAGCTCATATTCTAATATTGGTGTAGATGGGAAAAGATGTTGTGACATTTTTGTCATGGGCTGCAGAACCAGAAATGGAAGAGAGAAAACTGGTATGTTGGCTTCAATATTATCACACGACATTACATTAGGAGGTAAGTTAATTTCTCGTGCGTGTACTTCTCTTAATGCAGATGGGGTTCAAGTGGATATTTGTACTGTCATTGGCATTGCTTCAAGCTGCTTATTACAGGCGCATGAGGTGGTCTGTTCTCAAGTCTCGTAAGTTGGTGCTCGATGTCGTCAACTAGATATATCCTCTTGTGGGAGGACTTGAATTGGCAATAATTATAATTATTTTATAAAGCCAATTATGTTTTTCTGCTGTGAAGAATTTGTTCAACTTGTCCATTGGTAATGTGGGTGACCCAAAGAGTTAAGTTTTCAATTCAGGGAGAAATAAGCGACTCGTATAAACATGTGTTGTTCTTTTGGAATTTTGAACTAGTTTAGAATAGTTGTTGAATGCAAAATTTTCCTGGATAGCTTCCAGTATGTATTTGGTTGATCCTATCATTTTCAGATTGATCATTGTTGTGGTTGGTGGTGGTGAAAATAAGAGTGGAGCTTTGAACAATGTCCATGAATTGAGTTGCTGTGTGTGTGCAAGTGAAGTCCTCTTGGCCTTGTTTGAAACAGTACCACATTCTTTCTCTTGGGGACAGTATGGTGTAATTTTGTAATTGGTTAAAGCTCAATTTTTTGCCGCTCTTCTTTTCGACTGTTTGGAATATTGTTTGATTGCAAATAAGAAATTAGGAAAGCAAAATTTGCATAGTAGTTGCGGAAATAAGATTGAGTTAGAACTTTTTGTTTCTTGCTGGTGTGTCTATGTATGGGGAACAAGAGTTGAGAGAGCTTGGTGTAGTCTTATTGAACGGTAATGCTGGCCATCTCTAAAAAAATAAAAAATAAAAACCGGTTTGACTAAATAAAAAAAAATAAATCTATTTGCTTATAAATGGATATTGATTTTAGTTTCAATTCAAGATCTATGATACCTTAGTTTTTATTTAAAAAAAGTTCAGGATATATTCAACTTTTTCACTAACAAAAGAGTTTTTTTTTCAAATTTTTTTTACCAAGAACGATTTTTTTATTAAAATAAATAAATAAAAATTATTAAAAAAAATCATCGCTCCTAGAACCTGCTTAAATATTGTTCCACCTTCAAAAATTTTGGAATTTTTTTTTGGCTATGATTTATAGGTTAATTTATATTTTGTTTTCAAGTATTAGTTTTTTTTACTTTTAGCTCGGTCTAAAAAAATTATAATTTTTTTAAAGAAGTCCATTGAAAATAAAATAAGCCACTTGTTAAAGTTTTTTTTTTTTGCTTTTGTTTTTTCCTTCAAAATTTGGTTTATTTTCATTTTTAGTTGATTTTGTTAAAAATATAAAATCATCTAATCTAAGCGGATCTATAAATAAATAAAAAAGGACTCAAAATTGAATAAAAAACAAAAATAAGCTGAACAAATATACCAATTTATAAGTTGTGTCAAAAAAGCTAAATATGGTCAAAAGAGCTAAATATGGTTATAAAAACATGGCAGAGAGGATCAAAAGCATTTGTCTTCATAATAAACCGGACTGAACTATTGTTTATAATCCTAGTTGCCAACATTTAAGTTATCCCATTCCTTTCTAGGGAATCAATCTCAACTTGACCAGAGCTGTGAGAGGGGTTTCCCCTTTTGGCATGTCGTCACACAATCCAGTACCACCTCCTGCAACTGTTTCTCAACATCTTCAATGGGGAGGCAAGCATCTATGGTCTGCAAGACATCCACAAAAAAAAGAGCCTTAAAAAACAAGACACATTCACCAATCTTGACTTTAAAAACAAAAGACCATTTTTTATTTTTTTTTGTTATGCTAAAAAATGATATAAAGATAAATGGATCACTGTTCAAGTTTTGTCGGTATTAACATTTAATGCCTTCAATTTTTTCTTTTCCCCCATCTCACTATCATTCCATATGAAAACCAAAAAGCATTTTGAAAATATACTGCAAGACTTGATGTTAAAGCTAAAAGGTTGTGATAAACTCTGAGGTGAGACCCAAAGGATGACATCACAAGGAGTGTGTACATAGTCTCGTCAGAGTAACACCACCAGACCATTTTCATTGGCACTGGAAAACAAAACAATAAAAGAGCTATTAAAAATATGTTACCTTCCATGAGGCATCATGGAGTATCTGATATGAGCGGACAACTTTTCTTTGAAACTCAAGCTGCTCGTATCTCTCCCCTCCATAGCCTCCTCTTTCAGCCGCTTTCTGGCAATTTCAAAAGGACTTTTCAGTTACCCTGGCTGCTGTTTTACTTGGTGGACACATATGTGCACACACAAAGGAAACTAATAAATAGACTCTTCATTTATATAATATGATAACACAAAAATCAGTCTTAAATAGATGACCTCAACAGCTTAATCAACAATAATCTTATATTTTACCATATGGAATGAGGAAGGAGTGATCAATTGACCAAGGATCATCGCATACTGGACCAAGAGTCCCCTAACTATGTAGCCAATTAAAGTGCCTTACACAACATCAACCAATGACAAAGTAAGTTAAATTTATCATCAAGGACTAAATTAGCCATCAGACAAGCAGGACTTGTTGAGAAAGAGAGTGGAAAACTACTCAATCTGCAAGGTTCAAGACATGGTTGTGATCTTTGATGTCATGGTACCTTAACTTCAACAACAAATTTGATAATAGAACAAATTACCTCTGGTGGTATGTCAAGATATAATACCAAATCTGGAGCAAGCAACCCCATCTCTGGTGCCTGTGTAACAAATCATTTTTCACTACCAAAAGGGAAGAAATGGCACCCAGAAAAAATAAATAAATAAAAAATAAAAAACTCAATCTGCAAGGTTCAAGACATGGTTGTGATCTTTGATGTCATGGTACCTTAACTTCAACAACAAACTTGATAATAGAACAAATTACCTCTGGTGGTATGTCAAGATATAATACCAAATCTGGAGCAAGCAACCCCATCTCTGGTGCCTGTGTAACAACTCATTTTTCACTACCAAAAGGGAAGAAATGGCACCCAGAAAAAATAAATAAATAAATAATAAAAAATAAAAAATTCCCACTTAAAAATAGTTTGAAGCACGTCTTCACCTTACACCATTCAATATCAAGTCCTTTGGCAGATGAAAAAGCCACCCCAGAAAATGAATAGCGATCTACAATTAGGGTGGTTCCACATCTCAGTTTATTCTCCATCAAGGATCTGCAAATATATCGCAGATGATCAGTTATGACTTATAAGTCTTGACATGTCAAACATTTGCTTGTGCACAAATCAAAATCATTATCAATCACAGACTGATCCCATGAAAAGGGCACATAGGGAATACAAATCCAACATTCTAACAACTTTTTTCTGTAAATAGATGCGTCTGTTGATGGAAAAGAAATGGCAGTAATGATTTTTTTATTTTTTATTTTAAAGAAAGTGAAGTTATCAAAGTAAGACTATTTTACCTTCAAGATGGCAATAAAACTCTCAAAATCTATGTGAAATTGTGAAAAGTTTGGGCTGGGACCTGGGTGCTAAACCAATTGAAGACAAATTCTATAGCTAATCCAGTCAATATTCAAATTAAGATAAGTTCTGAAAATTCAGTCATTATTTTTTTAGCATCGCAAGAATGAAATTTATCCAGTGAAATGAAATTTGAATCGGGAAATCATACTAGAGAGAGCATAATAATGAAATATTTCAAAAACTAGTGTGTCAAATTAGGGGTCTGGCTGAGCCCTTGTCTTGAAAATTTAAACAAGCACTGTTCTACGTATGAGAGTAATTTTAAAATTAACAACCATTTAAGGTATAATAATCTCTCTTTATTCCTAAGTTGAACAATCGTATTTCAGTTTTGGCATTGATACTGCTCCTAGATGAAATGGGGATGGCTTCAAATTGAAGGATTGAATTTCCATTCTAGCACAAATTTGAATTTAAACAAGCACTGTTCTACGTATGAGAGTAATTTTAAAATTAACAACCATTTAGGGTATAATAATCTCTCTTTATTCCTAAGTTGAACAATCGTATTTCAGTTTTGGCATTGATACTGCTCCTAGATGAAATGGGGATGGCTTCAAATTGAAGGATTGAATTTCCATTCTAGCACAAATTTGATTGATGTGCGTTGAACTTGAAAATTCTTCATGTGAACGACAAACTACTAATAGAAGCAACATTAAACACAAATATAAGGTTTAAACTTGAGGTTCTCACAAGACCTTTGAAGAAGCAGAACGTAACATAATGCATGAGACATTGAAACGAACCTCTTCTCCCAACGATTTGCACTAAAGAGTAGATGGATTGCGTGATCATCCAACTCTGACTTGTTAGCAAGATAAGAGGAAATCATTTGCCCAACACCAGTATTTCTATCAGGAAAACGCCATGATTCAACTGAATAGCTGAGTCCCTCCAAGTAAGAAATCAGCTTTCTTGATTGTAAAGTCTTCCCACTTCGATCCAACCCTTCTAGTACAATTAAAGCACCTCTTGAATCACTTTTGTGATTATTTTCCATGTGTATTTGCCTTATTGAAGACTTGAACGGAAATTTCAAATTAAATAATGATCGTTGAGTTCCTGCTGCCCCAAAATTTCTAAACATAGCTAACAATTAGTCAGAGAGACAGACTTCAGCAATTATAATCTATCATTTGGCTAAGAATCCACACAACACACACAAAGTGGTCTGTTTGGATCCTGACAAGTTTTTAGGGAAAATAAGGGAAATGATATGAATTATTTTAACAAACTTTTTCAACAGTTGGAAATGATTTCACCATTTGTCGTCTGAATCCAATGCAACGGAAGTATTTAGTTTAGCTAAGAACCTGAGGTGATATTCTTTCTTCGAAAATGCAAAAGCATAAGGATTTGACATAAAGCTATATTTTTCTGCTCATTCCCCTTTGTTTCTCAGCAACCAAACAGAGCACACATCACATTAACACCGTGTTTGGATTGAGTGATTTGGAGAGAAAAGAAAAGAAACCAATCTCTCTTAATCTTAATCACTTGTTCGGATTAGTACACAGGAGATAAATAAGGAGAAATAAAAGAAAAGAAATTGAAAGATTACTAATTTTGTCTATTACCAACATTGCCCATCTAACTACAAAAGAAATAAAAACATAAAAGTTTATTTTGGTAACAAGATGCGAGAGAAATCACAATCATTTCTTTCCTTTTCTCCTCTCCTAAATGTCCAAACAGTGTGAAGTGTCCAAAAAATGAGTAAAGAGAGCATTTAAACAAGATATTCAGTGAAAGGGTGCTCACAAAGCCTTCAAAGCTGTGAGATAGCAAGCATGTGTCATTGACACTCTCAAGCCTCGCCTCCAGACTGTGATAAATTATTTTTTACAAAAAAAAAAACATAAATTACAATAGTTATTCCAATTGAGCAAGTTGAAGGATTAACAAACACATCTTTGGCACAGAAGACAAGCAATCTGAAAATAGAAGCTTTTTTAATTCGAAATACCTTTGGCTGATGAACAAATTAGGGTTTTCACTGGTTATAACACAGCTTCTGAAGCCATGAACAACTACAGTCAATTCTCACTACACCAACGCCATGAAAGCGAGGTTTGGGAGGAGAACAAGTTCGCCGGAGAAGATGATCGTCGCTGGTGAAATTCTAGTCGGATTAAGATTCAGATCAGATATCGGATTTAGGTTTTTTAAAAAAAAAAATAAAAAAATGTGCCCAATTTATAGGATTCATCAAACTGGATAGTTAGCGCTAACCGTGAACGGTCTGATCCGATTTTTAATCCCTAATTGCGCGCCTTTTGAGTGGGACCCAACCCAATGATTCAGATTACTCGGAAGTCGGAACCCATCTCATCCATCGGATTTGTATCTGATAGTGAACGTCCCCAGTATCCCTAGCCGTCAGATTATTTCAAAGCCGTGGAAATCAACGATCCAGATTTGCTAGAAAGCCATAGGTGGAGTGGAGCACTAGTACACCCCGCTTCTCTCTCTGTCTTCTCTCCCTCTCTCTCACTGTATCTCTGTCCTCAATAGTTCTTCTATTTCGCCTCCGGAGCTCCAGCTCGCAAATCTAGATTTTGTGAATCAGTCGATGTTATTACCTTTTAGGGTTTGGATCACAATGTCGCTGTTCAAGGTAACTTTGAGCTTTAAATTTGTTGAAGTAATTGATCTAGGGTTTTGTTCATGGTACATGAGTCATAGTTTCTGGGTTTTGTATATGAAATTTCATTCATTCAATGATATTTATTTAATGTCTAGAAGAGTCCTAGATTCTGCTTTGCTGAATGATTTCGCTATTCGGAACTCAGGATGACCTTTGGGACAAGATTTCAAGGTTTGGTTTTTATCTACATTTCTTGTTTCTAATAAGGGCAATGTGTGAGTATAAATTGGAGTATGTACTTCAAACCTGCTCATTTGATTCATTCAATGGGGTGATTTCGTGAGAAATGATAATCTTTTCTCATGTTTGGTTTGTAAATAGTGAGAAATGGTGAGAAAAGAGAAAGGCCAAATTGCACCAGAAGTCCCTACATTTTGCTTCTTGTGTCATTGTTGTCCCTACACTTTCAATTGATTAAATTTTGACCATTAATTTTAAATTTTGTGTTAATTTTGTCCAATTAATAATATTGTTAGTGTTTTTTCTTCTTTTTATTTATTTTTTATTTTATATAAATAATAACTAAATTGGTTGAGATTAACTTACTAAGTAGACCAAGTTTGTAATTTTGCTTCTAAAAACATGACACATATCACTTATGTATGTATTTTCTATTAAAAAATGCTTACATTTGTGATAAATTGGATTAATTGAGACAAACTTAAAATTCAAGGTCAAAATTGAGCCAATTGAAATTATAGGGACCAAAATGATACAAGGCCCAAAATAGAAAGACTACAAATGTAATTTGTAATTTGCCCAAAGAGAAATCTCTTACCAAACCTATTTCATTTCTCACTCAAACGGTGAGATTTGGTGAGATACAAGTTGATTGGCTGTAAAATATTTATAATATCTAGATTGTCCCTTAAAATGCAATGGAAGAATATTTCACTCATCCAAACATGATAACGAGAAAACATAATCATTTTTTTTCTTTTCTCATATAGATGAGAAACCACAATCATTTCTTTTTTGTTTTTCACTCTTCGATATAAATTGCGTTTGTACTTCTTTTTGAACAGAAATTGCGTTTGTACTTGAAACCTACTTTTTTGATTCGTTGGGTTTTTACTTTAATATGAATGCTGAACTTATTGAAGAATATACAATAGTTAATCAAGTTAACAGAACCTGTATTAATGACTCTAGTTGCAAAAGAATATATAGATTAGAGAATGTGAATCATTTTTCCTGATTTCTTATTGAAAAACGGGGAGACAGAATAAAAGAAGGAATAGAAATATAGGGTTCGAATGTAGCACTCTAAATTAAATATTAAAATATGTGTATATGTTCTTATGTATATTATTATGATGTATAAAAAGTGTGCAGGTCTAGGAAATTAACTTCCCGCAATTAAAATTTGCAGAAGTAAGCAATTTATGTTACATATTGGATAGAAGGGAACATAAGCGGTCTGAGAATCATGCTACGTGTGGATGATGTCAACATAGGATTGGTACCATGGAGGGTGTTTTTTTTATTTAACTCCCTGATTAAGAATCAGATAGCTCAGGGCATGTTGACACATAGATACTTCGAAGGATTCAAGTGGTCCAAGGAGGAAATGCATCCATTTGAATTTTGCTACATGCGATGGTTTTGGTGTCTCTAAAAAGTATCACCTTCCAAGAGAAAGGATTTACCGTTTGGATGGAGAGGTTTGGTGAGAAAAGAAAGAAAATGGAGAGAATGAGGTTTCTCATCACTTGTCTGGATAAATAATGAGGTGAAAAATGGTGAGAAAGGAAGAGAAATAGTGAGAAAGATAAATCACTCAAAATTTAAGTTGTTTCTCACCAAAGTAGTGAGAAACCAAAATTGCTCTTTATAAAAAATTTATAATACCTAAATTACCCCTCTAAATACAAAACAAATAAAATAAAAAGATACATGTATCCTCTTTTAAACAATGTTCATCCAAACAAGAAGACGAGAAACCTCAATAACTTCTTTTCTTCTCTCAGCTAGGTGAGAAACTATAATCAGTTCCTTTCTTTTCTCACCTCACAATCCAAAACTAAAAGATTGAGAGCTGAAGTTAAACAGATTCGCAGATTCTCCAGAAGAGAGAAGATGCAAAGAACAAATGAAATGATTATTTTTCATTGTATCTATCTACACCAACAATTAATTTAGTGCATATAAACAGGGGTTGGAGGAGTTAAATTAATTATTTGGTTTTGGTAGAGAGTTGATTAATCACAACAGTGTGCATCGTTTGCCTGAAAGTTGATTAATAATAATTATTTGGTTTTGCCCGAAAGCTTAACATCACAGATTCACAGTGTGCATAATTCCTAAACAGAGCCTTCTTCAAGTGTTTTATTATTATTATTATTATTTTTTTTATCAAAAGTTGGTTTTGATTTCTAAACAGAGCCTTCTTCTTCTCCTCTCCAAAAAAAAGAAGAAGAGCATTCTTCAAGTGTAGACCCAAGTGTTTTATTATTATTATTTTTTTTTTATCAAAAGTTGATTTCTAAACAGAGCCTTCTTCTTCTCCTCTCTAAAAAAAAAAAAAGTAGATCTCCATGTTAGTCACCCACCAGTTTTGGTACCTCTTCAATACGGTACCTTGAGGAATGAAAGGGGTATACCCGAAATTGGCCAAGTCATCTATAAATTTAAAAGTTGCCTCTTCTAGCCTGGACTTCCGGACTTTCAGATCCCTTCTAGTAAGGCTGAGATTTGTGTTGCTACAGAGAGGTATTGGGACCCCTTGTGAGAGGCCAAATTGTCTAGCAAACTGAGCTAGACAGTAAGGTTCAACTATGCATTTGTAGGCCTTCGGGTTCAAAGTCCCGATAAATAACTATCTGGGAATCAGAATGGAAGCCCATATATCCTTGTGAACAAGTGAAGTACAAGACTGGTCACTTAGAAAATTCCTCAACCAAGATGGACCAATGGAAGGTTCGAAGGGACGAAAGCGATAAGTAGAAAGGGAGGCTGGAAGCTGGAGATGCTGATGTAAAAATCGATGGTAGCTGCTGCCTGGGATAGGTGGTTAGAGACATCCATACCAGACTGCTCAGCAAGTTTGCAGCATTGAAGAAACCCGTTTTTAATTATAGGCCTTTGTAGAGCCTCGAAGGGAATCCTCGAAAAAGAAA